GAAATCAGTTTGATTAATAACTTGGTGAAGGTATGTTCAGAGTCCTACAGGACCCCAGAGGGTAAGCAAGGCTCTGCACTGGGAAGTATGGAAACATTGAAGAGAAGGCATTTAAGTATGCATAGAAGGAGGCTCTGCAGCCTCTCCTATGTTTGGGGAACTCTGTTTCATGAGCTTTGGCTCCCCAAGGCAGAAGCTGGAAACTCATTTTCTCTACTTTTGCTGTTAGGCAAGGGATGGGACATGGGCTCCTCCAATCAGACACATCTGCTCAAGAGGCCAGTTTGGAGAATTTGGAGGAAGGTAGTAACAAGGCCAACTCAAGGGCAGGGTGACAGAGGTCCCTCACTCAGTGGCCAGCATGAGGGAAGTGAGTCTGAGCACTCATGCCAAGCAGTAGAAGCTGGGGGCTTGATGGGGCAGCCCTAACCCACTCTCATGTGTCCTTGAGAAATTCTCAGAAATTCCAAGGACTGTGCACTATCCCTAGATAAACTCCATTTCTTTTTAAACTAACTAAAATGGGTCCTGTTGATTACAACTCTTGATTGAAATGCTGATAGCACTCTGTGCTTTGCAAACAGAATGATCCCAACTAAAAGACTAGGAATAAAATCTATACCTCCAAACCAGTTGATTGGGGGGGTGGGGGCATTATCAATCCAAGAGAAGTCAGAAAATGACTGGGAATAAAAGAATCAGCAAAGAAAAAGTATAATAAATGGAAAGCCAAAATAAGATGGTAGTAATAAATTCAAGTCCATCAGTCATCACAATAAATGTAAACATGTTCAACTATTCTCCTAAAAGACAGAGACTACTTGCTTGGAATTTTTAAAAATCCATTTATTTGCATGCTGCTTAAAAAGTGCAAATAAAAAAAAGATTTTTAAAAACTTTTTTAAAAAAAGACTGAAAAATAAAGAATTGGAAGAAGATAAACCAGGCAGAGGCCCAGAGCAGAGATGAAGAGATAACATTACAAAAAGTAAAAGAAATCAGCCACTGGGAAAGTTATGTAGACAATGAACCTTCAATACCTAATACAGTCACAAAGAAAACAATGCAAAAATGTTCTTAAGTGCAAGGAGAAATAGATCAATCCATAAAGTTATCTGCTCTATCAGAACAGATCAATTAGGAAAGTGACAAGTGAATCTAGAGAAGATCTAATCATGCAATGGCATACCTGAAGATATAGATATGTATAGAACTGTGCACACATACACATGAGGAAATTTAAACATTTTATCCTCTTTGCCTCAGGATCTCTTATTTATTGTTAAGAAATAAAATATTATGGACAAGTATGAAGTTCTTATATGAAGAATAAAGTTCTTCATGAAGTATGAAGTTCTCTGTTTCTCCCCTCAACCCTCCAGATCATTTCCACCCTCCCATCTCCTGAGGGTACTAGGCTCATGCACTGGGTCATAATCATTTATTCAGTGGCACATTGAAGAAGGGGCTGAGGGAAGGATCTTGGTTCATGTGTGTCAACATGGGCAGAAATCAAATACAGAGGGACCAAAGCAACAATAATATATTAATACATGTGTTGACATGCAGCTTTTTAAAGCATGTGGTGGGAGAAAAACCAGCCACATGCTAGGTCAAAGGATGTTTCAGGGGTTGTAAGTATGAAATCTTATGAACCATATCCTCTGACCACACACAATTGAAATCAAGATCTTGAAGAGATGCTTGCACTCCCATGTTCACTGCCGCATTATTCAGAACAACTGAGATATGGAATGTTAATGAAAAAGAAGCCAAACTCTGTAAAATAATTTTAAGGAAATTTATTCTGAGCCAAATTTGAGGATCATGACCCAGAGCCACCCCCAAGAAGCCTTGAGCAAGTAAGCTTGCTGTGGTTGGGTTACAGTTTGGTTTTATACATTTCAGGGATTACAGGTAAAGTCATAAATCAATACATGGAAGGTATACATTGGTTTGGCCCGAAAAGGTGGGCCATCTGGAAGGGGTGGGGGCTTGCAGGTTATAGGTGAGTTTAAAGATTCTTTGACTTATAATTGGTTAAAGACAGGAAGCTTTGTCTAAAGGCTTGGAATGTTTTAAGATAAGGAGCTGTTTATCAGAGACAAGCCTGGGACATATATTTGTTGTATAAATTGAGTACCTGCAGATCTGTCTTGCATAACCTTAGGCCTGTTAACGGGTTACACAGGATATCTCCAAGAAGGAAGGGGGGCATGATGAGGCATGTCTGACCTCCCTCCTCATGGCAGGCAATTTAGTTTTAGGATATCCCCCCCTGGCCAAGAGGGGGTCCATTAAGCTGTTAGCCAGTTGCAGGGAGCAACTGGCTAAGATTTTATTTCAGATTTTATTTTAGTTCATAGGAATCAACCTAACTATACATTGACAGAAGTGTAGATAAAGAAAGTGTTGTATATATACAATGGAATATTATTCAGCCTTAAAAAGGCAGAAATCCTGCTATTTGTGACAACATGGACACACCTAGAGGACATTATGCTAAGTGAGATAAGCCAGTCACAGAAAGACAAATACTGTGCCATTCCACTTACATGAGTTATCTAAAATAGCCAAATTCACAGAAGCAGAGAGTAGCACAGTGGGTGCCAGGCACTGAGGGGCAGAGGAGATGGGCAGATGCTGGCCAATGGGTATAGAGTTTCAGTGACACACGACGAGTAAGTTCTAGAGAACAGCACAGTGTCTATAGTTAATAATACGGTAGTGTGCACTTTAAAGTATGTTAAGAGGATAGAGCTCATGCTAAGTGTTCTTACCACAAAACACACACAGACACAAGAACACCAGGAAATTTTGGGAGCTGATGATATGTTTAGTACCTTGCTTATGGTGATGGGACACAGATGGATGCATATGTCCAAATTCATCAAAATGTATATGTTCAATATGTACAGTTTTTGAATATCAATTATACTTCGATGAAGCTAAAAAAAAAATGGTGAAAAGATACTCAAAGGAAAGGAGGGAAAAAGGAGTGAGGGAAAGTGACAGGGACCTCAATGCTGTGTGTTCACTGCCTGCCCAAGGGCTATGGAGGTCACCTGGAAGCCACTTCCAGACTAAGGCAGTAACACCAAGTGGCTCTCCCTGTCTCTCCTCTGACGCAGCCACTGTGGACGCCCTTGTGCTGACACGGCACCGTCACTCACTGACGATGCATGGGCTTCACCAAGCTGCGCGTCAGCGTGTGCATACGGTGCTGCTCTGGTCCCTCTGTATTTGGTTTCTGCCCACGCTGACGCACACGGACCAAGATCCTTCCCGCAGCCCCTTCACACTGAGCCACTGAATACAGGGATCCGACCCCAATCCATGAGGATAGTGTCCTCAGGAGAAGCGAAAGTGGAAATGACCCTGGGTTGAGGGGAGGAACAGACACATTCATGTTTATCTCAGTGTTTCCTCTCTAAAACAAGAAACCTTGAGGCAAAGAGGACAAAATGTTCAAATTTCCTCATTTTGGGTGGTGAACATATGAATATTTGTAGTATTATCTTCTCTGATTACTTTGATTTATTTTTTAAAGTTAAAATTTAAGTAGCCATTAAAATTTGGGAAACAAAAAATGTGAAAAGTATCCAATTTTTAGAAAATGGAGCAACCTAAATTCCCAATTCAGTCTCAGAAAGGATCTGGGTCCTGAACCCCTGAAACCTACCCAGAAGGTGGGGCTTTCAGCTGTGAGCATGTGGGGCCAGAAGGAAGAGATCAAGGCTTGTTGCTCAATCCCAGGTCCCGTGGCCTCGCTGACTTCTGACACACTAAGTCTCTGTCGACTCTGTTTCATCTGAGAACGGGATAAGTGCACACACAAACTGAGGACCCCGTTAAGGGCAGCTCCGACAAAGGCTCAGGGAGAGGTGGAGCCCACTGAGCCGAAACCAGGACATTTGACAACAGCCATACAACTTCCCTAATTTGGGACTTCACATGGAAATAGTGAAGAATTATTCACTATTCACTAATTCGCCACAGAATTAGTTAAGGATTACCAAACCCAGACCCTGGAAGGAGAACAATAGTCGGGAGGCAACCAGAGGGTCACCCGGGGCAGGAACTGTAAACTCCAGCCTGCTAGTGAGGAAGGCAGATTCCTGGGTCCCCCAGGGTCTGGGCTGTGTGAGGAGTGCTGCAGAGCGGGCCCAGCCCCGCCTCCCACAGCCAGTTCCACTGCTCCCGTCCTTCGCGTCCCACTGTTCCGACTGTGACACGAGATGATGGGATGTCTTGGAAACCCCCTCACATGGGCTGTTCTGTACAGGGAAGAGGGGGGCCTGCAGGGTCACAAGAGCAGAGAACTCCTCTGTCCAGCGTCCTGCCACGAGGAGTGTTCACCAGGCTCCTGTCCCCGTGCCCAGGACACCTGGGACCGCAGGTGTTTTTAACAAGAAGTGTTTTAACAGCTTCTTGTGTGCAAGCTGCTGCTCCTGCCTTTACTCTGCTACACCAGGGCTCACAGGTCCCGCCCTGAGCTGAGCAATCCCTGATGTCACAAGCACACCAGGAATAGGGTTCACTGGGCCAATTAAAAGCCTGTCCTGTGTACTTCCCATCTCAGCTGAGGTTCAGGACCACACAGAGAATTAAAAATCCTGCCAGGCTAAGCACCAGAAACTGCACAGGCTGGTTAGAACAGCTTCTGCATTCATAGGGACGAAGGCGGAGGCCTCTGTCTTTGGTTGTCGCGCAGTCTTCCAGGAGGGGCAGAAGCTTTCAGTGGGGACAACCCCTAAACAATCAGTGACCCCAGGACAGGCCATCTACCGTGACTGCAGACCCTTAGCTCCTGCCTGCCATCTGGGCTCTCAGTACTCCCTGCCCAGCTGCCCTGGGCTCTGCCCACATTTTGTCCCCTATACCCATGAGCACGGCAACAGGGCAGGTTTTACTCTCTGCTTCCTTAGGAAGGAAGGGTGATCCCTAGATTATGTCCAGGATGAAGCTGAGCTCTCAATACATGGAAACATGTCACTCACCATAGTAGCAGTGAATGGGATGTTGTCGATCAAGGATGAGGCCAAGGCTGAGACCCAGACCACCAGGACGATGGCAGCTGCAAGGCGCCGGTCCTCCGGGACCATCTGGAAAGAGCAGATAATAGCAGCTGCATTGTTAAACCACATGCACTTAGGATCCAATCCTACAACAGGTGAGACTCAGAGGGGATTAGAGGGGTGCCAGTCCTTCCTCTTACACATGACAAGACCAAGGCAAACAAGGTGTGCAACATAGGGCCATATCCACACCAGGAGCCTGAGCTCCTGGGTTTCTTCTGCAAGTAACTACTGGGAGCAATTTCCAGCCACACCCAAGCCAACAAGCCAGAGAAAAGGGAGGCGGTGTGACCCCACCCCTCAACCACATCTGGTGGCTGCCACACTGGTTACACCAGCCTCATGGCCCAGCAGAGCGTGGGGTCAGGACATCTGCAGTGTTCATTTACTGAGACGGTGTCACCTGCTCTCCTCAGGCTTTAACTAAAGGCTAAAAGCAAAATAGCAGGCATCTGTAATTATATATTCTTTGAGAAAAAAGTTTCCCTTCATCTCTAGGCTACACAGGATAAAATAGGTTCCCTGCTGTACCTTTTTACATAATTAATGTGACCAGTTCTTCACAGATTTTTTTTTTAAACAAAATCAAAGCACAGTGGCTGGAGCCCATTCTATTACAGCATTTATTGTACCTTTATTAGCAAAGCAGTCTGTTCTCCGACATATTCTATTAAGTGGAGATGTGCCAACGCCTAAAAGAAAAGATGTATGGTGAGAATCAGTTTAAAACTGAGAATATATGCAAGATTGTTTTTAAATGTCTTTAAAATGAAAAGAAGTGAACATAAGGTAGGCCCAGATTCTTGCTTCTTATAAAAGACCAGACTCAAATACATAGTCTATAAATAATTTACTATCATGTATGCACAAGGAAGATTCATGGGGAAAAAAAGTCCCAAAGCAGAGGCAGAAATTCCTCATTGATTTGAGGTACTGTCCATGTTAAATTTAAATTTGAATGGAAGGCGATCTCTTTAAGATCTGTGTAGGAGAGCACTGTTCAATCGTGCATAATGGAATGCCACACCATATATATAGGTCTTTCAAGTTAAGTTTGCATTTCCAATTTCTTCTTTAAAGTTAAATATCACAGTTAAAGAAGAATGAAAAGAAAATACATGGTTTCTATAACCGTCAGTGAAAGGATGGAAGGGTCTATTTAACTGGCAAGTAACTGTTTTCACAGTAGTAGACAGATTCAGAAAACTGTGCCCAGGGAAAGGCAGGAAAGGAGATTAGAAGAAAGAGAATGGAAGCCCAGGAGCCACTCTGCTCCACTGCCACTGCGGCGTCTGCACAGGAGAGGGTGCTCTGAGACCCAGGCTGGATCTGGGGGGGGGCAACGGGAGAAGACGGGATGTGGCCATCCAGCGCCTGCCCAGTATGTGGCCTTTCCAGTGTGGTTTGATCATGCTGAAGAACTAACTATACTTGTTGAGAACATCAGCTTGACCACGTTTAAATATAAGTTTAAGAATCCCAGTCCATCTGTACAGTTGTTAGTTGGCCTTCCTTTAAAATCTATGGCTTTTATATCAACTAATTCAAAAAGACAGTCTATTCAGAGCAGAGTTCCTCGTCCTCAGCACTGCTGGCATTGGGAGCTGGATCCACCTTCGTTGGGGGAAGTGACTTGTGGTTATAAATGTTGAGCAGCATCCCTGGTCTCTGCCCATCAGATGCCAGTGGCGCCTCTTCTACCACCAAGGTGACAACCAAAAATGTCTCCAGAAAAAGCCAATGTCCCCTGGGGGGTAAAATCACCCCCTGTTAACAACGACCAATTTATATCATAATTCAAATTTTATTAAAATAAATAAAACTTTAAACTAGAAAAAAATTAAATGCTCCCACACCTTTAATTTTTTTAGATACTACCAATCAAAAAAAAAAAAAAATCGGAGGCCTAAACTAGATTACAACATTCTGCCAAATACCAACTAGAGCTCATTCTGGGTGTATATGCACCCCCCACCCCCACCCCCACACACAAGAGTATCGTGTGTGCATCTTGATGTGTGCATGTAGACAACTATATGTTTATATATTTAGTGTCATACAATTATCCCAAATATCACAGTATATAATACATAGTATAAGAAGACAAAAATAAAGTAAAATCTTCAAAATACTTGAACACTGCATCTAATAACTCAGCTCAAATAACTTATCTCTTTAAAAGAATCAAAAGAGGAAAACACAAATATCTTGTACACTTATAAAGGGACAAATTAAATGATTATGTAGCACCTCCATTAAGCCTAAAGTTGTAAATATACATATTTAATATTACATATTTCACAAACTAAAGTTTATATATAGCCAAGGATGATATACATCACGTGTCTCCTCCATCAATTTATACAGTGAAGAGATGATTGTGTAGCAAAGTCATGATATGAAACACCATTATTCTTCTGTCACAGAGATGCTGATTCAGCAATTGTCTGACATTCTCATCTCATCCCATGGAAATAAATCAATACCATAAATCGCTGCTACCACTTCTTTCAAAATGATGGACTAAGGGTCCCTTCTGCAGCAAAACAAATAGACCGTGTATAAAACACACTTTTTAGAGCATCGTGGATTACCAAGACAGTGTAAGGTTTTCCAGGGAATCTCTCTCCCTGGGAAAATGTTTCCTGCATCTGGGAGACCTGGGTGGCAGAGAGGGATGGAGTCACCTTGAAAGTTGAGGCTGATCAAGCACTGAAGTGGGAGGAGGCGTGAGCATCAGTGAGGCTGTAGGCGCTGACGAGGTTTCTCACACTGAGATGAGATCTTCGAAATGCTCTGAAATTAACCCCTGGCATACAGCAGAAGCAGACACAAGCAGTTTCTGGAAGAAAGTACCCAAATGCAGGCCCTCGAGAGTCCCACAGATTGAGATGAAGTAACAAGATTATAGTCTAGGATCACCAAGAACACAGGAAGACAACAGGAATGAGAACAGAAACAACCAAGACAGAGTTAGACAGACCCCAAAACTGCATGAGGGAGAGAATTCATAGATACAGAATATAGAAGAGGAATTTTGTTTAAAGAAACTAAAGGTTGAAGAGTGTAAAAGTACCAATTAACATTGGTCCTTGATGAGTTAAGGATAAAGGCTGTCACGTTTAGATGACACTAAACCACTAAAAGTATTAAGAGAGTATATAACTGCCAGGAAAGGGAAAACAGAATTTTAAATAATTATCAATCAAATCAAATAGTCAAGAAAGGAGAATGAAAATAAAAATATAAAAGTTAGAACTGATAAAAAAAAAAAAAGATGGCCAAATGTGTCAGTAATGTGACACAAGTAAACAGAATATATGTTTTAGTTAAGAGATAAAGATTGTCAGACTGGATTAAAAATATAAAACTCAAATACATACAATTTTCCAAAGACATAATGAATACACAAATTTGAAAGTTTTAAAGCTTTGTAATTCTTTTTGTTCATCAAAGAGTCCACAGGTAGTTGATGTTTGTGTTTTGTCCAGAGTTCTAAAGTATTCAGAGGGAGATATGGACTTTAGTAGGTTTACACCTCCATAGCAGAACTGGAAGTCAACACTTTTTCTTACCATGAAACCCAGCTAAAACAGTCTTTTTCAGCCAATATCTAGACTTAAAAATAAATTAGATGTGATACTTCTCCTGTGCCAAATCCCCTAACTGACCTATATACCCTTAATCACCACCTAGGGATGTGGGCAAGAACATAGGGAGGGCCTCGTGCCAACCTTGGAGCCCTACCCAGGTCGAGAGAGGTCAACCTATGTCACACAGCAACTCTGGATGAGGAGAAAAGGATGCTGGTCTGCCTGACTCCAGCCAGAATTCGAAGGGAAACTCTTAAAACTCTCCATGACCATCAGGTATACTAAGTAGAGGCACAGCACGCTGATATTCGAGTAGACAGTCATGTGCTCTTTGGGGTTCCTCTTATCAGATGCCCTGTGCCCTGCCTTCCTTTGATGATTTTTCTCTGATGATGTCCTGTCTTATTTTAAAGTCCTCTCCATCAAAATCTGACCTGAGCAAAACAAATCTAGTTTTTTTAAACCTCTAAAACATATTGAAAGTTCTTTCATGTTTAACAGTTGATATATTTAGCTATTTTCACAAACATTTTGAATATATTATAATTGGAATTATTTTAAGTGAATTTGAATTACAACACTATTTTTGGAGAAAGTCATAGCAAGGTTAGAAAGACTATCAAAATTGATAAAGAGCTCATTACAAGTCATCTTTGCTGCAAACATTTACAAATCAAAATGCTTGTGTGTCAATTTTCCTCCAGAATTATGCATGAATCTTCCCTGTATCCTCACTAAACATCTTGTTTGCAAGACAGCATTTCCTTAGAGACTCAGAAATAAGAGAAAGCTACAGTTAAATGACCCTGGTGTTCATGTGCCTGGCAGAAAAACTAGGTGATCACTCTCATTTTCTAAAAATAAACTTCTTGTTCTTTTGCTCCTTTACATTGGAATTAGAGATCCACTTACAGTCATCCATAATTGAAAAACTAATCCTATCTATTTTTATATTCCATGTAAGAGAAACATCAGAAGTGACCTGAATAATTATTAGAAAACACTAAATCAAAGGAATAAAACAAAATTTATTTTTATTGGAGTTTTCTTGGATAGTGTTTTTTGGTTTGTTTTGTTTTTGTGTTTTCATTTGTTTAGTTTTGTTTTTTTAAGGGAGAGGTTTCTATATTTGCTATTTTTTCCATTCCTCTTTGCCCAAAGGCAAGAAGAATGAGCCATTGGTGTTTCTGAATTCATAAACTAAACTTATGGGTGCTCGCTCTCTGCCCATCAGGGCAAAGCACACACAGGCAACTGTGTTCTTTAACATCACTCTCTGCAATTAATTTTTACAGTGAATGAACTTTCTTTCACTCCTTCACATTATGTTATTTCTCAGACCTTAACATTTTTAAGACAGTTGAGAATATAAAAGCCATATGTCTTTTATGTTATAAGCCCTAGGGTTTATGAGTAAAAATAACTAATACCAAAAAGTAACTTATACACAAGAAAATGATGGATAGCCAAGGAGAACTTGGAAGGCTGCAGGGGAGCCTGGTTTGGAATTTGGCATGAATTATTAACTAGCAACATGGAGTTGTTACATTCAATCTATAAATTAGAGTTTTATCCTGCCTATTATTAGCATTATTATTACTTTCAAGGACAGAGCCTTAGGACAGCTAAAGATGCCCCACTGACAGAGACACACATAAATCCAGACCGATTTGACACCTTTCCACACTTCCTGGACACCCAAAGGAGGAAATGAACACAAAGCATGAACATGCCGGTATGGAGAATCCATCATTTAGGAACCAAGAAATCACCAAAGCTTTCGAACACTGCCAAGAAATAACAAAATTATATTTTTCTTTCTTTTCAGCTTAAGATTCTGATAAATATATCCTCACAAGAAGCCTTCTTATATGAATCCATCTGGGAACCACTCTCCACACAAAATCTGTGAAAATCATTATGAATGACAGTCATACCTCTGGAAACACGGTTTGATTTATAAACATAAGTATTTCATAAATGTGCAATCCTCCTGAGCCAACATCACATATTGGTCAGGCTCATTCATTTCTGTATTTACCTGACAAATATTTATTGAGTGCTTACTATGTGGCAGGCACTGTTATGAGAACTGGGGG